AGTGCAATGCCTCTCGCTCAGGGGTGCAGAACTGGCCACCGCACTCCTGGGGTCCCCAGGACACACAGCCCTGTCACCCACATGAGTGCCACCACATCCTACAGCCCCAGGAGCCACTGAGCAGGAGGAACCAACTTTGCCAGGGTGGCAGTGTGAATTGGTGACAAGGCACAGCCCATCACAGCTGAGCATCCCACTCCTCATGGCTCCAGGCCAGCAGGACCAGCAGCTCTGGCTGCAGAGCAGGGCCAGGACAGGAGACGGTGCCTCCAGGGCCTTCGCTCTGGCACTCAATGCTGCTACACAGCAACATCAGTCTAATTATAGTAACGGTGTCAGTGCTGAACAGTGGGAAAAATACATACTTCAAAAGGTCTCTAACAATGTAATTTGCTACTGGCAAACTCACTGAAAAAAACCAAACCCAGAATAAAGCACTTTTTAAAAGTAATTTGTGCTCATCTGACGCTTTAAATTAGCTAAAGGTTCAGTGGGGGCAGGGGGGGTGAGGTGGGCATATAAGCAGAGATTTCTGGTTAAAACTGCTTTTCTATTCGTGTGGCTTTAGAGCAGTTTTACATGAAACAGCGACATTTGGTGGATCTATGTTTAATCTAAATATAGCTCAAGAAAAGTCAAGTCAGTACAGCATTATTCTTACACGTAGAGAAAGGAAGGAGTCGGGTGGGTAGGCAGACATTTAAAAGTCACATCTTCCATGCGTTTTGCTAGCAATGCTTTCCTAAATTATTCAATTGTGTGGAGAACAACAGCAGGATTGTGGATTTAGCATGACTAAGGTGCAACCCACTCCCATAAATTTCTTCTCCAGTTCCTGCTGTCCCTGAAAGTGCCCATCAGTGTCCCTGTCCCTGTCACTCCACCTGGAGAGCGGCTGCTGCTCTCTGCATGTTTCACCCCTGGGGATCCCGCGGGGACTTGCTGGGGCCACAAGGTGACGTAAAGCAGGGGGGAGAAAATAGTAACCCTGGTGCTTAGAGCTGCCCTTTGAGATGAGAGCAAATCCCTGCTGAGAGAGAAACTCAGCCTGGGGAGCTCACATTCGCTAGTGAGCAACCAAGACCCATCCCTGTGCAGACACAGTACAAGAGACAGCTCCTGCCTTGGAAAGCCACGGGCGAAACGGTTAAGACAAAGGGTATGAGAGCAAAACAGCTGTTCTGGCAGGGAGCTCACAGCCTTCCAGCTCCTTTCCACCACCTTAATACTGCTTTTGCTGCATTAAGTCAGCCAGATGCACATGGCTATTCCCTAAGCTGATTTTGTGCAGGGAACGTATAACTGATGTTCTTATCCTTCCTCATCCATGTCTGCTCAGAAACCACCTAATTTCCATGCCCACCAGCCACAGATCTCCCACAGAGAAGGTTTGACTGGGCCAGTCCTTTCGTAACTATTACTGCGTATCAAAGTGGTTCAAAATGACATTGCTGGTCAATGCTCTCAGGCAACACCACCTGTGGGAGAGTTAAGGGAAATCCAAATTAGAGTGAAAAAGGGTGCAAGTCTGGCTTAGTGGAGATTATTCCTGCCCTGTCAGTGGGGAGGATCATGGTTTGGCCTCACCTAGGATCACATTCAGTCCTGGAAGTTTCTGTTTCTTGTCCCCCGGAGAAGTTTTCCCTTTGGGGATGAATACACCACGTGAGTCATTAGCCAGGACAAAGAATGAAAAAGCTTGTCAGATGGGTTCTTAAATTAGGTGGACAATGAGTGATGAGTCTGTTCCAGCCAAGCAGAAAGGGATGGATGGAACAAGGGCCCCTTGGGAAGGCCACAAGCTCCTGATCTGAGGTTTGGTTAAATACAAATGGGGCTTGAGTCAGAAATACCTTGAAAGCACAATCAGATCCTCTGGCAGGGTAAATGGGCTGATGATTTATTTACATGCAGTGATTCACTTCTCACGCAGCGCTGCGTGTGTGTTTCCAAGTCCAAATTTCCTTGACACAAGGACATGTGAGATAGCATTGACCCCTGCGGCAAGTAGAGGAAGACCCCACGTGCAAAAGTGCCAGTCTGCTGCCTTGCTACCATGTGCCTCAGTTTCCCCACCGAGCAATGGATGTTGGTGGAGAATTAAGGTGGGAACGTAGGTCCTTGCAAAGCTCCCACACTGCCCACAAGTCTCGGGCTGCACAATCCAAATGAGAAAAGGAAAGCTTGCTGCTAGGGTTGGGGGAAGAGGATTAATCAGCAGGAGATGACAACAGAAGTCCAAGCTTTCACTAATTAGAGGAGGGCAGGAGCTGATTCAGGGAGCATCTCCCACACTGCATCAGGGAGCGTGTTTCTGCAGTCACATTCCTCTGCTCCCTGGAGACACGGGGAGTTTCTAGGTACTGCTTCAAATCACAGCCCTGTCGAGCAGAACTGTGTCAGGTAAAGTGTGACACTAGACCATTCCCTGGGGAGACACCACAGGCCTGCCAAGAACATAAACATGTTTGGCACCGTACAAATCAGGCCATTACCACGTCAATCACAGCATCCTGCATTTGGCCAAGAGGTGGCTAGGAAGCAGAGCCGGAGACGAAGCCTTTCACACAAGTTTTTCAGAACAGATAACCCAGAAACATAGGCCACCCTCTATCACACATCATTTGTGCTGGAGAACTTCCTCTCATAGTGGATTTAGTACAGGTTATGAATATCTGCACAGGAATTCAAGTAATTTCATATGGCAGAATGAAGCCACAAACACAGGCTGCAAACATAGACCAATGCAGAGCAGAATTAAGGCATGAGGGGAATTAGCCATTGGCACAGCTGATTTATGGATTTGTGGCTGCTATATCACTTCACGTTTTTATTGGATCCGAATACATTTCTAAGGGATCTGGCACAGCCCAGCTATGTATTATGAGCTTGATACTGACATCAGGAGGAAAAAATCATCTGGCTTGTCCTAGGCAGATCAGACCAGACAGTTCCTTCTGGCTTGTAAAAGAATCCATATGCACATATATAGCAACGGGCATAATGAGATGCTAGTTTCAGTCATGGCCTTCAGACACAACTGTTTTACAAATAAGAAAGATACTGTTTTAATCCTGGGTTATAATTTTTTTTGGAAATATCTAGATAAGGATCTTTCTCCAGCCTTTGGGCTTAGGAGATGTGCCTGGTTACCAAACTTCACAGGAGGTTTGGTTCCAGTTTAGTTCTGCAGAGGGGTGTTTCCCTCCAGCATTACAGCAGTAAGGACAGCCTGGAGGAGATAAAACAGGGCAGACCCTTTGCTGGATAAAGCATAAATCAACATACCCCACTGCCACTAGAGCTTTGAGCTGGAGGTATTTTGTGTTCCTTATCTATATTACGGGTACTGTGAGAGCTATTCTAATTAGTCTTCTGGAAGATGAAATGCCTACAATGACACTGGCAAGTGCCATTTTCATCCAGTTCACACAGGACTGAAATGGCTCGTTAAGCCATCTGCAATCAGTGGTGGGGCCCTAAAGCTTTGAATACTTGATACACTGCCATACAGCAATTTTTTCATGTGATGAGAAGCAAGAACAGTCAGGCACCTCTTCCCCATTTTCTCTCTCTCTGCCAAATGAGCCTTTTTTCCTTTTTTTTTTACAACTGTTCCCTTAGAAACAGCCAGCTTAGCCCTTTCACCCATGCTTCTCCTCTTTGTGCAGTACAGCATGGCAGCAGTGCTCAGCACAGCCATTCCCTGCTGCTCCCTGTGGTCTCTCTCCCGGCTCGCATTAAATGAGCGTGACACAGGCTCACGCAGCCCTCTGGTAGAGGTAACGGAGGAGATGTTGATGGCAGACATGCTGCAGCAAGGGAGGTGGCACATCAACGTCCACGCTGTGACCTCAGCTGACAATTACGCAGTCGTCGTTGGCAAGCTGTGGCTGTTCCTCTGCGTTTTTTGACCCCCCCCCGCCTGTTCACCCAAGTGAGCTGTCAGGCCTTAAAGGCTGAAAAATGTCTGGTTCAGCTTCTCATCCAATTCACGCAAAGCAAATGTTAACCCCAGCCTACTTCCAGCTCTAGACTGAACTTGCAGTTTCACTGGGGCATTTCATAAAATGAAATCACCCTGTTTGCTGGAAATGTATCAGCTCTTGCTGTCAGTTCCAGCAGCTTCCAGCCAGTTTATTTCACACAGCTCAGAAAAGTTGGAAAGGATTAAAGCACTGGATAGGAACATGAACCTCTCAATACCAGATTTTCTGTGTTGGAAAAGATTACACAATCCACAGAGACATGTGAACCAGGGAAAAGGTTCAGAGCACATCTGTGATTTAAATAAAACCAAAGAAGTTCAGTCTGGGTCTGAGCTGTGCCAGTTCTATCTAAACTTGGGTCTCCAAAACACAGGCTGGAATTTGGAAGATAACTGCTATATGAATTCACACTATAGGTCCTGTCAGGCCAGGGCTCTGACTGGCAATGTCTGGCACCAGCTCTCTGCTGACAAGGTCCAAGAAATCATGCTGCACACTGATCAGGGATAACTTGCTCTGAGCACAAGAGTCCTCCTGATCCTGACAGAGGGTGTGAGTTTAAATCACAATGCATGAAAATTTATTGCCCTGCAAAATTCTTTTTTTTTCAGTTAAAAGGTCTTTACTGAAACTCTAGGTCTTTTCCACAGGAATATCAAATACCATTTTGATCTGCCTAAGTTTCTGCTAGACCTCAGGAAAATGCTAAGGCAAAGGCATTTGCAGCCTGGCTATAAGGACAGTCTTGCATTTGATAACTGGCCTTTTGGATGCCTTTTTGTGTGCTGCAGCTTCAAGGAGAATGCTTGTATTTACAAATATTAGGGTCCTAGAAACGTTTTCATTCTCACCTCCACTTTGGCTGCTGCTTTTGAAATGCATTCAGACTCCTGCTCTCCAGAGAAACGCACGTTCCCTTATCAGTTTGTTCACATTGGGAACAAAAATTCATGGTGTAGCAAGTTCCACTGATACTCAGTGGGTTTAATTGTGTGTGGGACATCTCTGCGGGAATCAGATCATCAATCTCTTATTTCTTTGTAGTTCTTATCCACTATGGCAAAACGTATGAGGTGAATTTCAGGGGGTTTTGGCTTCCTGACATCCCATAAATACTCTGGAGAAAGCACCTTGGATGGTTTGTGGGAGAGGAAGTGCCTGTTGAGATGGCTTTCTTCCTGCCAGGCTGCCGTGATCTCATTGGCTTTGTCTGTCAGGATGGTCATGTGGCAAGTCTTGGTGAACTCATAGACTTCCTTGATGAGCCCTCCAAACACAGCTCCTCCGTAGTAGAAGTCTCCTTCTCCATCAGGGATGTAGGCTGCTGAAGAGCTCCTCCTCTCATAAGGAAACTGGCTACGAGGGACATTAAAATAGCCAGGGTGTATGGCTGCTACTATGTCACCCAGGGTCTCAGGCCCCCAGGCATTGTAGAACACCATGTCAATGTCCAGGCAGAAGAGGTAGTCCACCTCCTGATGGCTCATCTCGGCTATGTGCTTGTTTATGGCCTCCATCCTGCGCATGGAGATCTCTTGCCCACTGAGGTATTTCTTGATGGGGACAACCACAAACTTTCGTCCAGGTGGCAGCTGGACATCAGGAATTGTCTCAGGGTTGTCAGTGAGGATATAATAGTTCACCTGATAGCCTTTCATGAAATGTTTCTCTGCTGACTCCAAGAAGCGGCCCACAGACCTTGTGTACCTGCACAGACACAACACATGAATAGCAGAGCAGAGACAAGGGGATGCATGGTGAATTATGAAGGGTACTTTTATGAATGGAAGAAGACAATGGATGAAGGGAGTTGACTACCTATTGCTGCAAGAGTCCATATACTATACATGCAATATGTAAAAGTGTAGTGGAAGACATGGAACAAGTGGGTCTACAGCTCTAATGCCCAAGGCACATGCTAGTTCTTCAAAAATACTGACCGTGCTTCCGGTACCTTGGGTACCAAATCTGTTATAGGCTCGTACGATTATGGACACAACGCATGGGCATAAAAGTTTACTACAAACTGGGGCAGCTCAGCTATGCTGAGGACAAGAAAAGCCAAAATTATCTTTCCACAGAGGAAGTACATCAGCCCAAGAAATGTACCCACTGAGTGGTTCACTTACTCTCCAATGGCAAAGGCTGTCACCCCAATGGTGAGGTTCAGTGGCCTGTAGGCACTGTCTAGGATCTCAGAATTGAAGGTTCCTTCCCAGATGATGGGTGCCAGCCATGGTGTCACTGTCAGCACATCCTGACGCCTGAAGGAAAAGAAAAGAGAGCATTAATGAAATGTAACTGTTCCTTCTGGTTTCACGGGCAGGAAATGGGAAAGAAACACTAAAAAGGTAGCTAGAAGAAGAGTGTGTGTATCAGCATTAATTCATTATGGATAGTATTATCATCAGATATTTTTCCCTACCCTCTAAGTTAAGGCTACCAAGCATGGACATTTCAGTCCCCAGGATGAAACTAAGTACTGTTTAATGAATTGGCAAAACCCCAAAGATCTACTAAAATCTCATTTAAGCTCATAGGACTTTTCTGCTGAGAAGAGTTTAATGACCACTGAACTCACAGAATGGGAAGTTATGCATATTGGCTATCAGCATGATGCAGATTGCTACATACAGATTAAAACACAAGTAGTAATACAAAAATTACTATAAAATATATCCCATTGCTTGTTATTTAAACACAATTTGCAGGATGACAGTTTATTTTTCCAGTATTAATATATAGCTTTAACACATTCAGATATAATTTAAAATTCCATATGTGAGCCAGCATTCAAATGTGTAAGAAAGTTATAGAAAATCCTTAATCTCCTGTGTGGGTGGTGGAAATACTGAATATATATGCAGCAGAGTCTGATTATGCTCTGTTACAGATATGCAGTGCTATTTCAACTTTCTTTGTCTTCAGGGTTTCTTTCTTACCTTTTTGATTTTAAAACAAGATGTCATTAATGATGTGTAGCTTACCCTAGCCCACTCCGATTTGCCCCAGACCATGATCTGTAGCACTCCGCTAATGAAATTTGTCATGCATGTCACAGGGCCACACTTGGAGGCTGAAGCAGCTCCCATCTGACAAGCTCCCAAGGCAATAATAGCACAGGAACCAAACCAAGAGACCTGTGGGGAGCAGTTTGATGGCTGAGGCAGCAGTGCACTTTCAACTCACGGCTAACACTTTCAGTCTGAGTGGATCTGAGAACAACAGTTTCACTGCCTCCTGTAGTAATGCATATGATTAAAAGATTAAATTATACAGGAAGAAGAATTTGTTTTGTAGAAAATGTACTAACTGAACTGTTCTCTTTCTGTGTTAATTATCCTTTTTCGGAGGAGAGAGAAAGAGAGCAAAGAAAATCTGCAAGTTCTCTAAGCAGGGCTTTTTTAAATTTCATTTTAAAGGGCTGCATTGGGTTTCCCAATGACTCATTTCGATGGTATGCATCCTCTCAAGTGCACCCTTCAGAGCACTAAAAGCTACACGATTCTCTCCTCTTTAGTCCAGGATATACAAATGATTTTGCACATTAATTTATTCCAATATGGAAGAAAGAAACACTCAGGCCTAGCATGTCCTGTTGAAATAGCAGGGGGAGGGTGAAATAATATGTACCAACAGGGTGTGTTTATTAACATGCCGAAGAATGGTGCTGTTGAAGGTGAACTGCTAGAGATAAGAGTCAGGTCACAGGAGCTGGACCAAAGGAGACTGCTAACAAACATGAGCTGACAAGGAGCGTTTGTCTAAGTCACTTCTTAGCTGTTGCTGCCTGAAACCTTCCATGTCTGTTTAAACTCACTGGGTTTGACTGCTTCTCATAGAGACTTGTCTGTGTGAGTGCCTGCAATTTGTTCCAGCGTAAGACCCAGCAGGTTAGCTGAAACCATGAAGGTCATACAGGGCATATGCTTGATTTTGCCCTGCAATGGATTCAAAGCTCTCCCACAGCTGGTTACAGCTACAGGACAGTTCCAGAAGCTATTTCTCACTGTCTTCCAGCTATTATGTATCTCCCGTCTCAGAAAGAGTCCCTGGCAGTAACCATGTAGACAGGGTGTGCGTATGTACTGATGTATTCATCGGGAATTTGCAGTAGGTATGTTAACAAGTATAGAGTGACTAAACTCAACCTTACAGCAGCACAGACAGCTGTGGACATACCCGTACGGTTAGGCTTTTCTTGGAGCGAGGTACTGTACAGCATGCACCGGGACTTTGAAACTGCGAGTGCCACAGAGCGCCCAAACCAAAGTCAGCAGAAACAAATTACAAAGCTCAAACAAAGAAACTTACTTTGGAGCCAGCACTCTTGGCTGCTGATAAAATAATCTGTGAAAAGGAAGAAATAGCCACTGAATAATACATGAATATGCCTGGAAGAGAGGAACAGCAGTTTAAAGGTCAGGAAATAAAAAGCCAGTACTTACTGGGGGGAAAGCTGGATTAGCTTCTCTTTTGTATATTGAAGTTTCATGGAGCTGCATGATGGGGTGGAAGAAGAAAGGGATTTTAATGCTTTTTCTAGAATATGTATCAGATGCAGCTTCAGGACCTGCTGCTGTACTGACAGCTGCTCAACTCCTCACTCCAGTTGCTGTGCACGCTGCTCTGCCTGGTAGAGCGAGTTAGACACTGCCTGTACGCACCGTCAGGGGCTATCAGATGAGTAACAGTTTTGAAACAGCACACAACAAAACAAGGACAAAGAGATGCTGGCAGCTCTTTGAGTCTGCTGGTAAATCAGAGTTTAGGGGTCAAAAACTAGGGAAGCACATGTCAGTTGGGCACTGCCAGTATTGGTCATGTATACGCTTCACTCTCTGCATAACTGTTTCTGTTCACCTGGAGGGCTGAACTACCTGAAATATATCATCCTTTAAATAGCATTCAGAGAAATATGCATCTTACTAGTCACAATGTTTTTTAATGCCTCAAAGCAATCAGAAATGCTTCTGTAAGAGATAATTTTTCCTGTTTGCATTTTTTTGTTTTGGTTTTACAAGATCAATACGTCATGATAAAGGGCAGGAAAAGCCGTGGCGTGTCATGTTACAGCTATGGTCTGATACAGCAGTGAAGTCACTTAGGGCGTTGTACCTTGTTCCTTCACAGTGTAAATTCTCTTTGATGCAGCTATTGAGATAACTGATTTAGCACAGGTCTTAAAAGCTAACTGTACATTAGTTTGCATCACGCAATGAAGCTGAACTCTGAAACTGTAAGGTTTCTGGAGAAGCAGCTACCCTTCATTTTGCTCAGTGCAGGCTTCTAATCCACAACTCAAGTGTTGCCATAACACAAATACATTCATAAAGTGAATGGAAAGCACAGATCATGGAGTGAAGTGGAGGAACAAGATTAGGAGACTGAGAGGTTATTTCTAAATCTGCCAGGACTCCTCATGCGAGCGTTCATTCCACCTCTCTGAGTTGCATTTCTCCATCTAGCAAGCTGGGGTACTTAATCCACATCTCAAAGCACAGTGAGATCCTGCATGTACATGTGCAAGTGTGTGATTACACCCTGATAGTAAAGCCAGTGTTAACCTGTTAGTCACAGTCTCTGTGACCCACAACAAAGAAGGCCTCACTCATGCTCTACAAAGGGCATGCTGTACAGCCAGTCCTGAAGGGCAAGCAGACTAAACCAGAAAAGGTTGCGTTGTTACCATTTTGTTTTAAGTGACTATTTATAGACTCATGAAATAAAGAACAAGTGACTACTTGTTAATAACTACTTATACTGTCAGTGCAGTACAGCTCCTGTAACAATGGTCTGTGTTACTCATTACATACTAAATAGGATACTTACAAGATTTCAGGGCAAGGAAGGTAGTATGGAAGGTAGTGCACTTTTCCATTCCCAACTGTAATCCTGGGATAGTGAAGAAACATTTTAACATAGGTAATGTTGAAAGTTATCTTCCTAGGATTTTCCAAGATCTTCTGAGAATCTGACACAGATTTTGAGATGTAATTCTAGCTAATTGCTTATCTACTTTTCTAATTAACATGGGATCCAATGTATTCACACTTTAACACAAAATGCTGCTGCTAAAGCATAAATGGTAAGCTCAGGACAAAAATAAGTCCAGAAGCATGCAGTTTGTAACATCAGGTCTAGGCACTGCTATTTACATCAAGTGGTCTGCAAAATGTAGGCCTACACATTTTTGAAAAGTGTACACAAATGGAGACACATAAGGCAATGCTAAAAATGGATAAATATACAATAAACACTGACGTCATATACTGACACTTCCTGGAACTTTAAATGCTGTGTGTGCATCCCTTAATTTGCATAGCAGACAAATAGGCTGCATAGGCCTTTTCTCCCATTACTTTAGATCACAATCTATATTCATTTTTATAAACAGCACTTAACTACCGGTGAAACACAAATACCCACAACGTGAAGCAAGAACAAATTGCAACATCAGAAATACAGTATAATTAATAATAATTTAATAACTCAATAGTCAACATAAATGCCTGATCTCAGATTCCTTTCAAACAATGCTTGAGCTTGCTCAAGAGAGTCTGTAAGGCATACCGAGCAGTCAGTATACTCAAAGCTACAAACATTCTAAATGTTTGAAAGCAATAATATTTGATAGCTACAAAGCTATCCCTAGCTAGTTACACTGTTTGAAGAGACAGACAATCATCTTGTAAGGCCTGAACTGAAATGTAACCAGAATATTCTGTACTTGAACAGTTGTTTGTGAGTCAAATACAGTGTTGACAGCCTAATTTAGATACAATTGGTCTTTTTTTCTCCCTTCAGAGGCTGCACACTCTACTAGCGTTACTTTACTTGCTATATGAATTACGGTTCTTTCTTACAGCTCTAACAGGCACTTTCTGTAAAATGCACTTCCTATATTTGTATGCTGCTATGCTTTTTACCACAGTATAGATATATACCGGATGTTTTCAATATGACCAAGCTTGCCAACAAATGCTTACCAGATAAATGCAGTAACAACAAACAGGCAGACAAGGGACCCCAACACTTTCCTGGAAATCATGTCTTCTAGGGCAGAAGAAGGGCGGTCAGCTTCTTACTCCCAGCAGCTTTCAATCTGCAAAGAACAAAAAAGCAAGGGAAATTGGCTATAAATATCTCACTATGAGAGAAATGGATTATTTTCTCATAGGAGCATAAGGCTCCCCAAACAGTCTCTAGGCAGGTCCTGTAAGCTGTTTTAGAAACCTCTCCACTTCAGTGGGATATAGTGAGTTATAAGTGTATGGGGAGTCTTCCGATTTGATTGCAGTTTCTGCAGATTCTATTTATCCGTCTAAAGAACACACTCTTTGCAATTTTAAAAAGCTCACAAAAAACAATCATATCAGGTGATTGTGGAGCTAATACAGTTATCATTTTAGCTGATAAACTCCATCTTTCACAGAAGAGTAACTTCCAGAGCCAGCTCCCTGCAAAGGGGCAGGTAGTAAAAAGCTAAACTGAGACAACAGAAGCAAAGAAACATTATGTGATAATAATACATATTGGATAATGATATTCTCTGTAAGTCAAATAAATTACTCCCTTTTCAACAGCCATAAAAATCAACTTCCCCTAGCTCAACTGTCTTACCTTAAAAGCTCAAATCAATCCCTTTTCGATCACAGGGAAGTAAAGGTTTCCACAGTGTGAACCACAGGCCCTGCGACAAACACACAAAGCCTTTGCACGTGGCCTCCAAAGGAACTTGTCACAAGCACGTTAATTGTTCCAGGCTACATTCATTATTACCTTTAACAGAACTACAGTGCTGCAGACAGTCCTTTATGTGCGCAAGATCACTTCCGCCGCCTCAGCATCCTCTGTGTCCACATAATGTGCTCTTCTGCAAAGGAAGCTTTCCAGGCTGCTGCTGGGACTGTAATGCAGTCTGGAGTTAGAGAAAAGCAATTTCTAGCACGTGACTGGAGGCTGGGAAAAAGCTGTTTGTCAAACTCCTATTTATAGCCAGGCAGTAGCATCGATGCTAGTAGGAGGAACTGGTACAGGGTGCTTCTTTGAGAGAGACCGAAGTAAGCATCACAGAGATCTTTTCTGTCCTGGCCCTTGGTAGGGCAACAGTGTCAAAGGATCTGAAGTCAGTGGCAAATTCCCCACTTTACTTTCTTTGGTTATAAAAAGACAGGTAGCAAAAAGTTCTTTAATTTGCTCTATTATTCCATAGAGAAATCTGCTCTGGTGCTTCTTCCTCACTCTCCTGTCAACGGATCTAATCAGCTTTTCAATCATTCTTTGTCAGCTGCCTATACACAGTGTGGGTAAGCAACCTATGCCAGTGCTTTACTGCCTTTCTCCGCCAGGAGGCTTTTCCTAATTTCCAGTCAGGATCTCACTCACTGAAGTCTGTGCCTTTTTATGGCAGTGATCATGCACCTGGAGACTCCCTTTATGTACCTGAAGGCTATGATGGTTCCTTCCCTCCTCTATTCTGTGAGCACAACCACCACAACTCCTTCAAATGTTCTCTGTAGATCGTTAACTTCAAGACCTGTGATTATTTCTCTCAGCTTTGTTTGAACTCTCTCTAATCAGTCCATTGTCATGAAGTGGGGTGCTAAATCGAAATCAAACATTCCT